TGATTTTTTTGATTTTTTTGATTTTTTGATTTTGATTTTGATTTTTTGATTTTTTTTGATTGCGTTTGATTTTTTTTGTGATTTTTTCGGCCTTGTACAATGATTTTCGAAGACAGCACCCCCTCGACACACGCAAAGTCCTGCCTGGGCACGACTCCATCCTCGTAACTTGCGGGGGCACAGCAGAACCAGCATGTATCTCGGAGGGGGGGGGGGGGCATTCCTCGCGTGCCTCGCGGCGCCGCCACTCTCAGATTCGCGTTCCCCGCAGTTCCCCGGCCCAGGCGTCGGCTTAGACTCGACGATCGACGTCGACGTGTCGTTCATAATGGTTCTGTAGCCTACTTCCCAAGTCGACGGTTTGCTTTGCCGCCGCCGGGCGCTCGCCGGGTCGTGCAGCAACAGCATTAACACGGCGAGTCCGATCTGCCCGATCAAGCTGGCCCAGTCGCCCAGTGCAGACTCTGCGCCTCAAGAAATCAAACTTCCGGGCTCGCGGCTTGTTTCCAAGACGCGCACGCGACCCGCTCTGAATTTGCCGCCGCCGCCGCCGCACCGCGGCTACTACTGCTGCTACTGCTACCGCCGCTGCTACCGCAGAGACGCTACTAGACGCTACCGCTGCTGGCGGGAGGGAGGCGAAGGCGACTGCAACACCGCCTGCTGGCCAAAGGCCAAACAAAAACAAAAAGTCAGTGAAAACAAATAGGCTCCTCGAGCCGAAGGATACTTGGTGCATTCCTGCCCCTCTGTACGCGTGTAAATTCTGTACACGATTGTTGGATTTTTAAGTCAACCGTTCCATGTTTTGGTGTATTTCTTCGCCGTTTGAAACTGTTGATTCAGTGCCGACCCGCTGGTTTTCCTTGACGTAAACAGTTCATCGAATAGTATGGGATAGGTCGCAGCGCAGGGAACCCACTTCTCCCACTTGTTGCATGGTATGTATGCATTCCTTAGCTGAACGACAGGAATTTGTGCGTGATCAGAACTTTGGTTGGGTTTTGGTTTTCAAGATACGTATATATCGTTTTTAAATTTTTAGATGGTTTAAATATAGCCCCTTTAGTAGCGTCGCTTTCGTATTTGAATTTTTTTAAATGGTATACCTAATGGTTAAGTGAGGTTAGTTCGCCCCAGTTTATTACTCTGTGAGATTTGTCACATATTTTTTTAGCAAGTACTTTTCTAGTTATTGGTAATAATCAACAATATTATCAAAAAAATTACAGTTTTATCAAAATATTTAGATATATTTCTACTTACCTCTTGTACCTGTTTTACAAAGTATGCGGTTGAATTTGTGTTCACCCAATCAGTCTGTCATTGTTGCACTTGTAATTTAGACCCTTTATTTTAATCTAATCTATTCTTTTTAGTGTCACAGGCGTAGCAATTATCTTTGCTATTTACTCACACTCTGTCCTACAAAATTTTCCCCTTAAGTTGATTCTGATTCTGTGAAATTGAAATGACAGTCACAGTTTCTTATTAATACTTCTGTTTGATTTTGTTTTTGTGCCTAAATTTCTTTTGGAAACACAGTAACAATATTTTGTCAAACTTGCCAGAAATTCTAATATGTATCTTAAGCCGAAGAAGTGGCTGTTTTATTTTCAATTTCTTAAGTGCTTGTTTCTGGATTGATTTAATCTATATTTGCTTCTTCTATCAGGTGATTTTACATGCAGGAAGACGGAATGTCTGATGGTAAGCTAATCACAGTTTTCAAAATATGTTAAGCGTTTTTCATTGCCCAGTGTAAATATTTGTCATTAGCGGCCACTGCTTGCTCCAACTTGCATTTTTTCTGTTCTCCAGACCAAATGCCCTGTGGATTTTGTGTGGGGGGGGTCTTGGTTTTGCCACAATGGATAGCCCTCAGTGCGTAGGGCCAGTTCAGCACAACCCTATGCCTCAATTCAAAGATGCAGATCATTATAGGAGTCCTCTGAGTCCTCTGTGCATTACAGAAGGAAGTCATGACATCGTTCGACCCAAACCACGAAGGTAATCCCTCAACTTGTATTTATAATTTTTACACTCTGTTTCAAAATATGTGCCTTTTTTAGGTTTGCCAACACAATTGTTTTTTTGTCAAAATCGATATGGCAAAACTATTTTTGATCTTTTTACTTCATTGTTAGTTCCCTGAGACTTTTCTTGCAGAGGTTTTTTACAGTCTTTTTTTTTTAATTTGATCACAACAATACACCCCAAGAGCCGAAGCTCCATTTTTAATGTGTGTTTTCTTTGCATTGATATGTCAACTGATGTCATTTTTCTATTGCTTAAAGAGGTGACAGCTAGGAACAGTTTCAAACTCTGCGTTACTTGTATGTGGAGCTGTGAGAATGACAGCTTTGGATGTCTTATTAGAAGCAAGAGCAGTTCTGGGTTTTCCCCATGGTTGTAAGAACTTTCCTGCTTTCTTTCACCCCTTTCACCTCTGCTATGAACTCAGCATTCAAGATACGCTCGTTGCGTTTCGATCGTAAAACCCCCTTAACGAATGAAAAAGTGATCAGATGTTGCGATTTTCCTGAGTAGTAACATGAATCGGGAAGGCATGCTCGGAGAATACTTCCTTGTGTGTATGATTGTGTTTGGGAGAGAGGGGGGGGGGGTAGTCTTATGGTGGATTTAGTGTCATGAGGCCCTTTGCCTCACTGAAGCCAGTTTTTAGCCAATCATAGCCCTCCAAACCTCTGAGGCGAGCTGTCTCAGAGGCCGCCTCACCGTGAGGCAACGGGCCTAACGAGACTAAATCCACCATTACAAGTTCGTACATGGTTCGTATAAGCACCACCATATCACGCAGACAATACGGAGGATCACCCTGTGATAAGAATAGGATGAAAAAAAGGGGGGGGGTGAATCGGTGAACAGGAACACAGGGAAAACATGTGCATTGTGTACTTTAGTTCTACGATGGCTCGCGGCGAGGAGGGGGAAGTCCTGGGAAAATGTTGCCCGCGGCGCACCAAGTCTTTCGCATGCGGACGGAGGAGGCCGGACGCAGAGCACGCTCTTCCGGCAAGTGTTTGCTGTCTTCCCTACCCCTACTGAGAAGCATTTGACGTGGACATCGATTAGACGTTGAATATTCTTCTATTTAGATGCTAGCGGTACAAAAATTGATGCAATTTCCACGTTTGGCGCCTAATCGATGTGTAATCGACGTGAACGCTTTTTATTTTGGACAATTATAGGCAAGCCATCTCGGAACGGTTGGGTCGGTCCGTTGCGACCTGGGTTTTAACGGAAACAATTTTAGTGTAGCTGTGTCTAGCTGTACCCCTTTCTTGTATTCCGTTGTCCGTGTCGAATCCCTTACGACGCTGCTACGACCTTGCAACTTAGTATTTTCCATATAGTTTTTTTAGCAACTTTAGGCCCAGAATCCACCCCTTCCCCTCTTCTGATGTCTTCCCCTTCCCTTTGTGCCTTTTCTTTTCTCCGTCATTCGGCTTGTGGCGTGGAACGTGAGTGGGAGTAGAAGAGAGAGGGTGGGAGCCTTCTGTTGTTGTGAGAACATTGCACTCTCAGCAAGCTCATTCCCACCTGGTCCATCCTCAGCTGATTATGCTCTTCTCTCCTCTCTCTCCTCTCCACAGAAAAGTGAAATTTTGTGCAGGCTCATTTGTTGCCGAGCTCTCTGAGACCAGTCTGCAGGGTGCAGCCCTCCAGTGTGTTGCCTTTGACTCCAGCAGCTAGGATCTGATTCTGTAGTTGACAGTGCAGTTGGGTTTATAGACTTATTTGGCTTTTGTGGAAATGTCATCATGCAATGAAGATATTTTAGAGACAAGGACTTTGTTTCCAATTTTGATCTTTAGCCTTCTATTAACCATAGTTCTCGTGTGATTGTTCTGTGATGTGTTTTAGTAGATTTGTGTACATGAGACGATAATGGCTTGTCGACATGATACTAGACCTTGTTTGCTCTGTAGAGAGTTGGCTGATTTTAAACCTAAAACTAAAATGAAACAATCATTTAAACAAGCTTCTGAAAATTTCATTTTGAAAAGACCAGATAAATTTCATAGCTTTCTAAAACCCAGCCGTCAATCAAAATTTTGGAATTTTGGACAAAGAAGTTTTAATAGAAGTTACAGTGTGAATGGTTCTTACCGAGCAACGGGTAGTACTTTAGAAGCAAGAAGAAGATGTACAGATAGTTTTGAAAATGTTATTTTGCCTGGTGAAAATTCATCCCAAGAGCAAGTAGGTTTGACCAGTGTCAGTTTAGATAATCTGAGTTATCATGAAGGAGGTTTTGAAAATGTATCATTTGAGTGTGGAAGCTTGGAGTCTATTTTTCTGGGTGGCAGTGCATCCCCTGTGCAAACAATAAGTCCTAAACCTCTAAGGATGTTCAGTCTGGAAGATCTAAGAATTGGGTATGAGAAGTTTTGTTGCTTGTTATCTATTTGATAATTGATTGAAGTAATTGGACACAGCTAAGCTGCCTTTCATTTCTGTTTTCTTATGCATTTACTAATATACTGTCTTTTTGATCATGCAGTAATTCAATAATTCAAGTGTATTCTTATACACTATTTACCATTAATGACACCTTTATTGTTTCAGACCAGGAAATGGAAGCCGTGAAGCAATATGCACTCAAGGCTACAGTCCTTACCCTCACAGTCCCAAAGGTCTTGTCTCTCCCCCGCTTCCAGCAAACATTATGCAGGTCAGTAACAGCCTATCTAAATTTTGTAAAATTGCATTTTATATGTCATAACTTTTTAAATTTCTTATAGTGCAATTCTTCAAGTAAAGAGGTTGTATTGGAGGACACACCTGCAAAAGATCGCAGTCCTATCAACATGAATAGTAGTAGTGTAATCAGGCCCAGTAGTGGGCCTCCAGCAACTGGGAGTCCTAGCCCCCCTGTGCTTCTTCGGGGGCCAACTCCTGCCAATCCTTTATCATCAAAGTCTTTGATAAGTGTTGCAAGTCCCCCAGTGCCGCAGGTACTTTGTGCATATCAACTCTCTTGTTCTAGCAATCCAGAAATCTTTTCCCTGGTCTCTTCAAATGTGTTACATCTGTTATTAGGCACCTCAAGCTCAAACACCATCTACTCAACACACTGGAGCATTGCAACAATCCCAACAATTACATCCAATAAGCCCTGTCACAGACAGCAGTGTGTTTAGAGACCGAGAAAGGGACAGAGATAGAGAGAGAGATCGTGATAGAGATGTACGAACAACCCCAATGATCCCTGAAAGGGATACAGGCGGCATTCGTCCAAGCTCTGATGGAAAAGTTCAAAGGCAGATCCAAAAGCCTGAGGTAAGGCTATTCAAGGGTTTTTGCTCATCTAGTCTTCTGTATTTTTCGTGAAAGATTGATGTTAATTTTGTTTAATAAACCACCCACTAGCGCCCACTATCTGCAGTCAGTAAATTCAGCAACAAGTCTGCCTCTTCAAGTCACACAGGAACAGTTCACAGTAATCATAGCGCTCATAGTAATACTAGTGGGCACAGTAATTACAGTGCTACATTTTCTGGTCACTTGTCACATCAAGGGCAGTCTGGTCAAACAAATCAAATGACCTCTCCTAGTCACAGTGGGCACTCAGGACATGTTTCACGCCACATGGTCCACAATACACCAACTGGAACTGGAAGTACAACAAGCACCGCTGCCAGGAACTTATTGGCCAATTTCCCTCATCATCATTTAAGTGTGGAAGAGTTAAGACTCCTTCAGGTGCGCTGCAAACCAAATTATTGAACATTTTAAAATCCTAATAATTATATGTGTTACTGTTAAAGTCCGTTAGTCAGTCAATGTCGACATTAACCGGTTAAAGTCGACTTTAGCCGGTTAGAGTCGACATCAACGGCGGCGGCCGGTTTCAAGCATCCGTTGACATTACGCGCCACTTCCCGGTTAATGTCCACATCAACCACATTAACCGGCTAATGTTTCACCGGAGTAGCCCTCCCCGGCCCCCGGATGGTTCTCACCGGCCGCCGCGGTTAATGTCGACTCTAACCGGCTGAAATTGACTTTAACCGGTTAATGTCGACATTAACCGACTAACGGACTTTAATTGTAACATATGTATTAATATAATTGTTTTTGTGTTGTTTTTTTATGTTACCTAACAGAGACGACAAGAGTGCACAGGTAGTTCTTCAGATGAAAACCGTTCATCTGGACATGCCTCAATGTCAGATGGACACACAAGTTCCTCTCCACCTGCTGATCGTGTTGATCGCCATCATCACTATCGATCACATTTAAATTCTGTTCCTGAAGATGAGCGCTTGTCAGCCAGTGTGATGCCCAATCAAAGTCGTCCAAATCGGAAGACAGTTCAAAACAGAAGCCGTCATAGGGGCACTCCTGTTAAAGTAGGTGTAACACCATTTGTTTAACTCACTCAAGGTTAGTTACCACTGCATTCTAAAAATATTGGCATATTTTCTCCCTAAATTTCCACAGCTCGTACCATGTGGATCAGGCCTTGAAGATATTAAACTTGCTATACAGCAATTGACTATGAGATCACACACTTCAAATTCGACATCGACTTATTCTAGTCTCAGTGGCTCTGAAAGTAGTGAACCTGCTGTAAGAAGATTGATGCGACATTCCTCTTTGGAAACTATCAATACCAATGTAACAAGTGCAGACGAGTTTGTTTGGGTAGACTCGCATAACAGGTGAGATAGATTCTTGCATGATACATAAACTTTTTTTAATGTGGAACATTAAACAACTTTTTTATTTAATTTAAGATTGGTTGAATTGCAACATTTACCCTGGTCAACGCACGACATCCTGAAGGTCATTCAGAATGGTAGAGTAAAGGAAAGCATGGAACGTGTATCTATGGAGACCATACCACGCTTGTCATACTTACTGCAACGGGCACTTGTTAGAATTGCTCGCGAAGCTCAAAGACTTTCCAGACCACTTCATATGTGCAGCAAGCATGAAGTAGCAAGTGCACTCAAAATTGTTTTATGTCCTGCACTTGCTGACTCCTGTATAAAGGTATGTTGTAAAGAAAACAATACTATCACAATAAGCAAACTATTTTTTTTCAAGTTTTCAATTATTTCATATTTTACGATTTTAGGCTTGTCTTCGCTCAGCCGCAATGTTTGCAGTGTCTGGTGATCAATTAAAACAGAGTAAATCAAGTAGGGCTGGCTTGCAGCTATCAGTGGGCAGGTTTCATAGGTGGATGGCTGATGTGCGCCTGGGTAAATTTGTGCATGAGTAAGTTATAATTACCCCTATACCTTCTTATTAAGTGTTTACAACTCTCAATTATAACATCTACTAATAATATTGGTTTTCTCTTAGATATGCTGCTGTGTACTTAGCTGCAGGACTGGAGAACTTGGTTGAAGAAATGGTTCTCCAGTGTCTCCCAGCCAAAATAGATTCTGTTTTGACAGCTGCCATGTTTGAACATGCCATTGCCAACAATGGAGATTTGTGGGGGCTTTTGCAGCCGTACGCCCATTTGAACGCGGGACGTATTGCTTCAGGTAATGTGGCCTTTTCACCTATGTGCTGTTTGGTGCTTGGATTCAAAGTTTACATCTTTATACCTTTATTGTAGGAGCTCTTTCATTACCACGCTGGGCGAGCATAAGCAGTCTAAACACTGAGTCTACCCAGTCTTCCTCTACAACAACCATGCTAGGATCCTCAACACCTGGAAATACCCCAGGAACAACTCCTGGCAATACCCCTAGTGCAATAAGCTTGGGTAAATCAACTGAGCAATCTCTTCTCACCACTTGTGTAGGTTCAGTACAAGAGCTTACAGATTTGCTTGCGAGGATTGCTGCCTTACCTACTCAGCCAATTGGTCGTCCACTTGCATGGACTCATCAAGCTGTTCAAGCTCTTTTTTATTTTATGAGATGCTCTCAGGTAAAGAAATGGTGGTGTTTTTTAAGATTTGTAAAAATTGCATCTATTTTTTGTTTGTTATCTTAAACTTGCTCTGCCCCCTCCACTAGCTTGAACATGCTGAGCAGCAAGCTCCTATCCAAGAATTGATGTATGAAAGAGCATATGTTGTGTTACCCCCATTAGTGGAATGGCTGCGAATAGCTAGTGCTCATGCTGACCATCGTCATGCAACTCATATTGACCAAGATGATGTAATGCAAGCAGCAAGGTTGTTGTTACCTGGAGTAGATTGTCCCATTCGACAAGTAGGGTAAGTAACTTCTTGGTAAGCTGTCTTATCAATCTTTCTTTGATAAGGAAATTGAAGAAGATCAGTTTTCTCACGAACTAATCTAAAATGTAATGCTTAGATGGGAGGAATCTGTGGCTTATCCAAGAAGACCAGGAGATGACTCAGAAACTGCAAAGCGGCTTAAGTTAGACTTGGCCTTTCGAATGCTCAGCACTGGATCTCGAGACATGGTGCCTCATGCATTACAACTATTACCAAATTCAAAGGTATTTCAGACCCTTGATTATTAACTTGTTCATACATTTTCTGTTGAGTGGTCTCTTAACTATTTTTCTCCCCAGCTCAATTGTGTGAATGAAAGAGGACTCACTGTGTTAATGTTGGCTTGCATTCGTAATGATGAAACTACTGTGCGCCTTCTTTTGGAGATGGGTGCAGATCCAGACACTGAGACGCCTCCACATGGTGCACCTGTAAGTGCCTACGCTATGTAATGAAAGGAAATCCCTGTCTAAACTCTTCAAAACTTTACATCAGCACTGATTTTTTTCAAAATTTATACATTGCAGGGTTGTCCCGCTGTTAATGGAGAAATGCAGCATTGGACTGCTCTGACATACACAGCTCTCCAAGGAAATGTCGCAATCGCGCGACTTTTACTTGACCGTGGTGCGCATGTCGAAGGCGGTGCTCGCCTCAGTGAAGAAAAATGTACAGAAACACCCTTACAAGTTTCAGCAGCTGCTGGGCTCTCTGACATGGTCCAATTGCTTCTTGCCCGCGGAGCCCACACATTCCTTTCAACTTTAATCAAAGATTCATTGTGCTATTCAGGTGCAGCACAAAGAGGCTGTTACAGGTATATTTTTCTTATTTCTAACTACACTATTGTTAATCTAAAGAAAAGCGTAAAACTAATTTATGATATCTATATCATAAAAAAAACAACCTTTCTTGAAACTTACAGTGCAATATCAGTAGCCGCTGCTCATGGACAGAGGTCAATACTTCATCAACTTCTTACACACCCTCTTAGTCATTACAATAAGGAAGTGCTTTCTCTTGAAGAAATTCTTGCAGAAGGTGTTTCCCAACTGACAAGTGATCGGCGGGCTGCTAGATTACAGGTAAAATTTTATTGTGTACCTGTTGTGAATTTGTTTGTGATTTTCATGAAATGCCACTAACCCAGCAATTTTGGCCATTAGGTGTCAGATGACCATGGGGAAAGCAACAATCCTCCTGTGAAACTAAGTAAGACTCAAATAAAAGTTTTGCAGGAAGCCATGTACCATTCTACCGAAAATAATCACCTTGGTAAGAATTCATTGTTTTGGCAATTCTAAACTTAACTTATTAGTAGAGTTTATTCTGTTGTAAACTACTGTTTCAGATATGACACTGGATATGCGTAATCTTGGGGTGTCTTGGACACTTCACTGTTGGATGCACACTTTAGCACTAGCAGATGATCTTCGCCTGGAGCATATGATTGATCAGCTCTTACAGGATTTTCTCCAGGTGTGGCCTGATGATTGTTCCACACAGTTTGTTGATGAATGTTTGCCCTTGCTGTTCAGTATCTTCCGTTATAGCAAGGTAATAAACATTTTTAGTTTTCTGATATAAGTATAATGCTACTTCACCTTCTGAAACAATAATTGTTAATTTCTAGAATGAAGGCACTACACTCTTGTTAGCAGACATATTCTGTACTTGTTTTGGTTGGGAGCCAATTAAACCAGTGCGCGATACAACATTAAATGGAGGCACCCGTATTGACCCTAAGTTCGTGAATAATCCTGAACTGTCAGATGTTCAGTTTCTTGTCGAGGGAAGGGTCTTTTATGCTCACAAAATAGTGTTGGTGACCTCATCACCTCGTTTTCGGGGTATGCTCAGTTCAAGACTTTGTGAAGGTAACCCTCCTGTTGTGCAAATAAATGATATTCGCTATCATATATTTCAGGTAAGAAAATGGTACTTAAAAGAAAACTTAGAAATTTGAATTGGTAAATTTCATATCTGTTTCTGATTCTTCTTTTCTCTTGTCTTTTATATTATCTTTTAGCTTGTGATGCACTTTCTTTATAATGGTGGTTGTGACAATCTCCAAGTGGACAGTAGTGATGTATTAGAACTTATGGCTGCTGCCAACTTTTTCCAGTTAGATGGACTACTTCAGTATTGTGAAGTTCAATGCTCAACAATGATAGATTTGGATAACATTGTGTCAATGTATATTCATGCCAAGGTATATTTTTTTTTTTTAATTTCATAGATGGAATTGGACTATATGATTTGTATTCTGTCATTTTAGAATATGTGTGCTCTTGGTTTGTTTCAGGTTTACAGTGCAGCTCAGCTGATGGAGTACTGTCAGGGATTTTTGCTACAGAACATGATGGCTCTTCTGACTTATGATGATTCAGTAAAACGATTACTATTTGGGAAGAAACTACACAATCATGATGTACTTGCAGGTCTATTACTCACACTGCAAGCTCGAATCAAGGCTCGAAACAAGCTCAAATAAATTGTGTCTGATTTAATTTGTTTAAGTTTATATTTAATCACATTGAGTTAAGCTTCATACATAACTCTTAAACAAGATCATTTTGTAACTTAGCAGTATTATTTTATAACTTTTTCCAGGTACAATGCCAGATTTTTTTACCATTTGTGTTCATCACAGATATGCTAGTTGCTGAGGTATTGAAATCCATACATAGTGTCATAAAATTTCTTGTTTGTTGTCATTGTGATAATCTACATATGTTCCTTGTTCTTGCTATATGTATATGTATCACATGCTTAGAAACGTGCTTGTCAAAAGTTTTTCCAACATTACTAGTATGTGAAATGTAATCTCCAATGTAGTTATAATTTGGAACTTGCCCTTTTGCTCTCTTAGCATCGAGCAATGATGCTTCATTATATTTTAAAGCTTATGCTAGCATACCTTTATTAATCATCGAGTCATGTGGACTCATCACTGCTCAAATCGCTGACATTTATTCTAACAAATTCGGTATCTATAGTTTTTACTA